ATGATGCAGATGAAGATAGCGAGTAGTTTTATTTTATCTTTGTTGTATAGCTACTATCTTGCACTACTCTACGTCTCGGCCAAAATTATTTTTTTGGGCTTAGATGTGGATGGTCCAGTTCAGGGTTCGGACCCTTTATGAACTGGAACTGGATCGTTATTGGACTGGACCGATGGTCCGGTCCACGGTTCTGTTTGTGGAGAGAACTGAACCTATAGTTCGGTTCTTGGTTCAAAGAATTTGCCAGAGAACTGGACCAAACCGGACCCATCCATCACTACCTTGATGACATATGTCTCTTATGCAAGGTCTGCGAAGAACGCCACCAGCCCGCCTGGGTATGTGTTGCGATACTTGACCAGTCCATTTTCCGTACAAACAATGTTCGTGATGATCGAGTTTTTCAGCCTTCATATGACTTGCCTTGTGTCGAATAGACATCTCACTTTCAGATAAAGAATTTACTAGAGGTCATTAATATCATGAGACTAAAGTGAGTAATGATGATTTGATCAACCTGGGCTCAGTTATTTCAACCTTCATATTAATAAAATTGCCAAATTACAGGGGTAAATTATCCTTGTACATTTGGGAGTCTAATGGAAATTTGATTTGTAAAAGTCTTAGGAACTGTCCAGCAAATGAACTCTCAGACTTTCCGACAAATTTCATTTGGACTTCCTGAGCTCGAAGTCAAAGTGAAGTTTTTTGTAACTAACTTATTAGTTCAAGTCTCACAGAGTCACTTAATATAATTGTCGTCATCATCTCGAGCTCATTACTGGCCAATCATGATTTTGGGTCAATTTTCTGCTTCGGTATTTGTTGACAACAAGCCACTGCCGGAATATAAAGAAGTCAAGTCCAGAATGCTGAAAGAGAATTCGATGACTTGTTGGATTGCGTCAGAAGCAGGCAAGGTATAGTATTAATCATACTTGTGCTTCTTTCCTGGGTGTCATCCTTCAATGAGGGTCAACCTGTTGATAACAGGCCCAGTTTCGCTTCGCAATCTTTGCACTTTTGTACCTCCACATTTCTTTCCTGGGTGTCACTCCTCCATGGGAGTCATTCTGTTGATAACAGGCCCAGTGAGTTTCGCAATTTTGCACCTTTTTACTTAGCTGAGTTCACTTATTTTGCTGGTGTCACTCCTCCATGGAAGTCATCCTGTTGATAATGGTACCTGCTATTTGACAATAGCCAGCACAATTATCAACAAGATGACACCAATAGAGGAGTGTGCTGTGATTAAAAAGCCCTCGCCTGTTGAATTGTAACATATACTTAGCAAAAGAATATCTATTAGTCAATAATACAGGGCATCTGTGGCGTCTACGTATAGGTAGGAAGGGAAGAACTGCGAAATAAGTAGGAAAATTGTATGGGCAGAGGGGAAGTGAGTCATATGTAACCACGAGAATAGTGAAGATTTAGATATGAAAGAGATAGCACCAGTGGAATGGAAAGGGCACAGGGCGCAATGAGTCATAGATAAGATATGTAAAAGATTCAAGGCACTACCAAAATGATGTAGAATCAAATATGAAAGAGATAGCACCATGAGCGAACGAGACGAGAGAAAGACAAAGCAAGATGACTGTTAACACCCCAACTAAGGTTGGCTGATGCTAAGGCGAAGGACTGACAACTAATGTGCGAGACTTAGATAGTCACTGCAAACAACAAGGAAAATTCCCTTGTATCTAAGGACACAGAGAAAGTGGGTGGAAAATCGACCCAGAACATGAGTAATGATAGCACCAGTGGATTGGAAAGGGCGCAGGGCGCAATGAGTCATATATAAGATATGTACAAGGCGGGTGGCATGCACAGTTGATGACTTCAATGTCTCAATATAAAGTTAGTACAAACACAATCAATTCATATACATTGAGGAGCAACAGGCCTGCGGGGCTGGACTGGGTAGAACAAACGAGCTACAAACCAGTTTGGGACGACCATCCTGGCACGGTGTTTACCTTCAAATTTACTTCTTTAGGTGGGTCATTTCTACTACATGTGTACCCAACTCACGCTACCAGTAGTGGATAACTCATGAAGCTTTGCAGAAGTTGTACCTTGCGAGGCTCAAGTGCATTGGCTTTGACCATGCATTAGATCAGCGCATTAGAGATGAGGTGTCTCACATGACACATGACAAAGCTAAAGTGGATTGCCCTGCAAGCACTGCTGACTTCAAAATGAAGAAGACTGATGAAGTGAAGAAGAGGAATCGAAACTGTGGGGAAAATGAGCAAGAAACCAAGGAATCACAGTGAGTCCTGAATGCAAGCAAAAATCTACCAAGGACAGTGTTAGTTTGACCTCTACTTCGCTAAAGCACCTGACTGACGTTCATTCCCAACTTCGCACGCTGAAGTATTGCCATTGCATGCAAATTGTAGTAATTGGACCTGCAGGGGCTGCATAGGAGGAATCACAGTAAGTCCTGAATGCAAGCAAAAGTCTACCCAAGGACAGCTACTGAGAAGGAATCCTATTAGGAAGACTCAAGACATGATCTGAATCTAAAGCTTGGTACAAACGCAGTAGATCTATGTGCATTTAGAAGCATCAGACCTCTGATCTGTGGAGTCTGCTGAAAGTGTGCTCAGGTGTCCGCATCTGCTTATGTAAGCAGGGTCGCCCCTGTCTTATTGCCTCACAATGATCGATTTTTTCAGCCTTCGTACGACTTGCCTTGTGTCGAATAGACATCTCAATGGGGGTTATTGAACCATCGGATTCCAATGGTAATGCTACTTTTGTTCAAAAAAATCATGTTCTAAAGTTATGAGTGAAGAGTGAGTGTAAGGTTGCCATGCTGAGGTGCTCAATCAAAGGTCGACTGTCTTAGCCTTTTGATGACTGTAATGTCTCAATCTCAAACTAAATACAACCACAATCGATCTATGTACATTTATGAGCAACAGGTCTCTGATATGTGGTGTCTTGCTTCAAGTGTGCCCACCTATCCGCATTTGCTTATGTAAGCAGGGTCGCCCCTGTCCTGTTGCCTCACTCAAAGGTTGATTTTTTCAGCCTTCATATGACTTGCCTGGCTTCAAATGAAACTTGATTCTAAGGTTATTAACCACCCTGGATGCGATGGCAATGCTTATTTTGTCCGAAAAAATCATGTTTCAGAGTCATGCTACCCCCTCCCCCTACCTACTCCACCATGAAGCATGATTTCATGTATATACTGATGTAAAAAGGATTTGAATAGTGTTTTTGGATCATAAAAATAGATTGAAGATGTGTTCAAAGTGTTTTTGGCCAATATGAAATGTAATGTGTAAGTTGACCTCATACCCCCCCTCAAAGATCGATTTTTCTGGCCTTCCCATGACTTGCCATGACTCCAAATCCATTTTTCCTGGGGGCTCTTGATAGCTGCGAACAAGATGGTCAAGCCCGAATTGTCAGAAAAAATCAGGTGGTCGAGATACAGAAGGTCCTCCTCCCCCCCCAAACTCACATATCTTCCTATTATGTAAATACCGGTATGTAAAAGGGTGTCCCTACTGTTTTCCAATGATATAAATCGATTGAAAATAATACCAGAGCGATTTGAGACCATACAAAGTGACATGTGCGAATTTGTCACATACCCCCCTCAAAGATCGATTTTTCTAGCCTTCCCATGACTTGCATGCCCTCCAAAAGCATTTTTCCAGGGGGCTCTCAATGTCCCTGAACACGATGGTAAAGCCCAATATGTCAGGAAAAATCAGGTTGTCGAGATATAGAATGTCCTCCTCCCCCCCCCTACCCCCTATATCGCACCACACTCAAATCTGACTCAAGACCGATACTGAAAATAGTGTTCCTACTGTTTTTCAGTCGTACAAATCGATTGGAGATGATCCCAGGGTGTATAGAGGTCACCAATATTGCGGTTTGGTGGAGGGGCAAAAAAGTCAGTATTTCGACCATATCTCCATATTCCAACCGCCGTTTTTCTTAATTCTTGGTTCATATGATTCCTGGAAGATGCCTCTAAATGATGTACCAGCCCAGGAAAAGATATTTTTTCCAAAGTTTGAAACCTATTTCTGTTTTGACCATATAAGTAAGATGTGTGTGCTGGAGGTCAAGAAACACTGAGCGGTACCTGTAAAGTCCTAAAGGATTATGAAGGAGGGAACCACAGCATACACATGGCATCCGATTCAACACCGTGTAAAGTCCTAAAGGATTATGTGTCAGGAGCATAGGCACGGTGCGATATTGTTAAAGCACCGAGACGAGAAGGCTGCATGAGCAGGGCATTCCACACTTTCAGAAGAATTTACATATTACGAACTTCGCACTGCAGCCTGGCGTCGTTGACATGGATAGGTCATCCTGGTGCTGCTGTCAGACAACATGTTGTGCGAGAAAGCACGAAACTGATAAGACGTTATGATGATGTTTGAATTTTAAATTGCCTTGCTGTGTGGTATAATAATAGAAGCTAGTGCGCCGCCACAGCATCATCAGTGCACTTCTCAATGACCATAAGACTTTGATTTACTCACATGCGACCGGTCTCTGCGGATTCTCCTTCAACTTCAAAACACGAGTCCGGTTTCTGTCGCAGAGGACGCGCCCTTACAGCACGCTCCCAAGAATATCTCGATATCAAATACCATGCACGCGCTTCAAACGACTTTTTTGGAGGTTCACCGTGACTCTGATCATGTTAGCTTGTCCGAGTTTGACAACATAGATATACACGTAGAAAGCGGTGCGCGTCACTTAGCCAAATCGGTCTGGGAAAATTTTAAACCTTAACCATACGTAGTTCATCTGCGCGTGGTCCATGTTCGTACTAACGGTACCGTGGAGCCAGAATGCATTTCACTCCACATAAACCATCTATACAAAAGTTAGCTACGGCAAAGATGCCTTCAAGCATCTTGATCACGGTGGGCTCCTCCAACAAAACGAGCTAATTTCTGCAACAAAATCGCGAGAAAGCTTCGCTGATCTTTGATAGGATCAGTGCCCCACGCCTTGTGAGGGGTCTGCGAACAATGTTCGAGGATGGTTCTGCAGACGTCTTTGTAGGACTGTGCACGACGTTCGTGAATATCCGAAGACTCCGTGTGTTCATCCTTCAAAGTCGTGACACATGCATATCCAGAGAATTGCATTCCATACGTCGCAAGCTCGTCCCTGTTCTTATTCCACCCACTCTGCCATCACAGGACGAAAGTCTTCCAGGCACGTCACCACCATAATAGTGGGTACTTTGCTATCACGGACAACTGCCGATATATCTTGTAGTGAGTCTGCAGAGCCTTTGTTGCTCGCGTTCCGCGCACACAGTATATAAGAAGATGGACACCATCTTCCTGGTTTAGACCTCGGAGGAATGTAGTCAAGTTCCTTTCAGCTATCACCGCAGGCACTGTGCCTTCTGAGCCTTCATTTAACCCTGACGACATCATGATGATCAGTAAGCCGCTCTAGACCAAATCCTTGAGCATGAAAGAATGCGTACCTGCTGTATCCCACAGCCTGAAGCGTTGTCCGCTGATCGTCACATCATAAGGAACATGTGTAGTTGTACACGCGAGGGCATCAGGAGATGTTTTCGCTGCATCACGACCCATGATAAGGTTTATGAGCGAGCTTTTGCCTACCCCACTCTCCCCATAGAGTACCACGTTACGCGGTCGACCTTGAAGTGCCTAAGGAGACATCAATCACACCCATTGACCGATCTTGCAGATCACGAACCTGCTGTGAATATGGACTCCTTGTGTCTACTGCACCTGTCGTGTCTGTGGAGTTGTAGCTATCAGACATCTTCTCTGATAGACATAATGATTAGTTGTGCAAAAAGAGAATAGCACAATCCTACTTCGCTTGCGATCCGCTCAGTCTATTGAAAAGATGGATAACGGCTCCTGGGCGTTTAAATATTGGCTCCGTGTCGAACGCTTTCGGCCAGATCCAACGTGTTGCACCCTGTACCACGGTTATGAGGGCTAAGCTACGGGAGCATCCGATTAAAGAACACATAAGGACTTCACATCAAAACGTGGCAAGCATCGAAATAGCCAGATTCCTCTTTTGAATCGTGTGGTAGGCATGGCTTGTGCATGCCCGTCTAGACCCTGCAGTTTCATTGCAAATATTGGGTATCGCCGTTGACTCGCTGAGAGATCGATCAAGGAAGCTGCCGGGTGCCTTCCCTGTGGGCGTTTAAAATGTAAGAGGATGATGTAAAAATTATGAAAAACGCACCGAGAGGGCGTGGTTCCACCACCTTTCGCATCACATATACCAGTTACAAATAGAATCATTCTGGGCAATTGTACGACACACAGCGCAGAATCGCTATAGTACAGGTACGAGTCCAACGTGAAGGGCCGAATGTCACTGACCGAAAGTCTAGCATAAGATGGCGTCAATGTCGACTCGGAACGTTGTTATCTTTGGAGAAACAGGAGCAGGCAAAATCTGTCATCAACCTGATGGCTGGCCAAGAGATTGCGCACATATCGCCCGACTCTCACCGTTGTACTCTGCATTGGACAGAGTACCAAATAACCTTCGAAAATGGGACTCGATACAAGGTGTTTGATACGGTCGGCCTCGAAGAGCCTCGTCTACAAACCGGAGAGTACCTCTCCGCAATTTCAAATGCACATGGCCTCATCAACACTTTGAAAGAACGTGGAGGTGTCAATCTCTTGCTCTTCTGTATACGTGGAGGTAGAGTCTCGGCAACCATGCAGAACAACTATCGGTTGTTCTTCGAATTTCTCTGCGAGGAAAAAGTCCCACTCGCACTAGTCGTCACAAACCTCGAAAGAGAGGCAACGATGGAAGACTGGTACATGCGGAATGTGAGCTCCTTGGAGAAGTATAACATCAGGTCCGCGGGACACGCGTGCATAACTGCGGCGAATTTACTGGACGGGAGGCATAAAGACAAGTATGAGGAGTCGCGTGGAATAGTCCGTAGAGTGGTTGAGGCCCATTGCAATGCATCCATGGAAGGGTGGACCGGTGGTCAAGGATGGCTTGCATCGTTCATTACCAAGCTTGTGGAATTTGTCGTTGGACGTCCCAAAAAGACGGATGTCGTTGGGATTCTCTCAAAACGATGTGGAATGGCCAAGGAGGTGGCCCTGCAGGTAGCGCAGCACATTAAATCCGAAAATCCGAGTCAGTCGTAGAATAATCTCAGACTTGTCATCGACACTAGTATCGGGTACATACTACTACACTGTGATGTACGTGTAGCATTCCCTCGCACGTAGTAGTACAACAACCACTTGAGCCGACAACTAGTGCTTGAGGCAGTGGCAAGAAATAACATTACGAGGTATGCGTTATCTAAAGTTCATGGACATCCTGCAGACAAAATCAGTAAAGATACTAGTTGACTCGGACTTAGGCCGATATAAATATTACATACCTCAATCCGACAAACTTCTCAGCACATCTACCAGCTCCACTTGCACCTTCTCGATCCTTGTCGCCTGCTTTTGCGCCTCTCCTGAATTGTGCAATCTCAACGCCGTCCGCGCTTCTCGCACGAACGCGTATGATTGTATTGTGGACTTTTCAACCTCTTCGACCTCTCTCGAAGCCTGTGAGGATGTCGTATCATCAGCAATCAGACCAGAAAGGTCAACACAAGAAGCCCGTAGAAGAGCAAGGTCTCGTAGGGTGTCGTGAAGAGGAAGTGGTGTTTCTTTTGGTGCCATGATCGGAGTCCAAGCACTGAGCTACTTAGTAAGCTATTTTACGATCAAACAACTGCCCTGCCCATCTCATATAGTTTCCAATTCGCTCACCACTGGCAATCACCTCAGAGTCACGAATCTATCCATCCCTGGGGCATGCGCAATCGGATCAGACCTTTACCGCACTTCTTGAAATATCAAATACTCATGCATTGCGCGCACTCGTGGAACTCCTTGTATGAGATGAAGAGATAGGATCGAAGCCTTCTCGAATCTCGAAGCAAGATAAAGAAAGGTAGGCGGCGTCGTCATCTTTGCCTCGTCATCTGGTTACTCAACAATAGTCATAGGTACTTCAGTGGCCCATGTATCAACATACTGGTACAGGAGCTTCAGCGCACGAGTGATAGATTTCAATATCTTGCCATCCTTACTGATTTATTCAGCAATTCAGCATTCATGCTCTTAAGTGGTGCTTGATAAGGCTCATGGTCTCCTCGTTAAGCGCTCGCTATCAACGATCTTCGGCTTGGAGGTCGGAGATCTGTCCTCGCGAAACAGATGGCTCTGCGCGAATTGGTGCGAGTTGTGCGTTCGAAGCTAAACCAGAAGATGCAGTTTTACTGTCTGATAATGATTTTTCGTAGTGGCAAGAACACGGTTCACCAAGAAGGGAATGATGCGGACTCCAAGAAGATACTGACTTAGCTGTCCTAGAGACAGGGTTGTCCCTCGCAAGAGTTGTCGCAAACGATCTGAATTTACACGACATTCTGCAATTGTAGATAGTTCTTGTTTTTAAGAGATATCCTTGTATATATCACTGTCGCCCAAATGCAATGATCACGTGTCTGCTATCTTATAATCTCGAGTAAACTTCGCGAGATAAGCGAGGCAAAATACCACAACTTGAGGCATGCACATGGTATTATGTAGCTAGTCCTGTCATATATATTCGTAGAGAAAACAGTCAACAGCAAATGTTCAATGATTATAGTATCCACCAATCCGTACCGAATATAGCCAGCACCCTGTGGGTAAACAATATGAGATACTTATAAAAACCACACAGACACTATGTGCAGTATGTATGAAACATCGAATGAGATACCGTCCTCACAAAAACAAGCGTCCCAATCTAAAACTTCTCTCCTGGGCCTAATGGGCCCAGCGGCCATACTTCTCACCGGTACGACTCTGGTCCTCTATTCGTGGGCCGTACGGCCGATGTTGTACGGGGGGCGTTCGTGAACCCGAGTCGGATGACGCGTAGGACATGAGACGCTGTTGTGATGGGTTATCGCTAAGCTGATACCGCGCGGCGTACATCGTGCTCGTAGGCGTCCGTTGCGGCTCTCATCATCATCAAACCCACTCTCCAACATCGCCTCCAACTCTGCACTGCCAACCACCTTATTCCCATCCGCCCATGCCCAGACGGTAACAGCCCGGCAGGTGGAGCAGGGAACTGAGCATTGTTCTCATTGTATCCACCAATCTGCGGACCATAATGATCGTCTTCGGATGACACAAAGGAATACGTGTCTGATCCGTCGCCGTATGGACTACGTGCTTCTGCGCGCGCTTAGCAGGTCATTTTCAGAAATGTACCCTGCCGGATGCATACGATCAAAGTCACGCCGCCGTCGTTCTTCGCGCTTGAGTTTGCGTAAGCGCGAGCGCTCCCAATCTTCCCAGCGGCGAAGAGGAACAGAGGAACCATCGAAGGTGCCAGAGCCAGCACCATGACCTTCTCCCTTTGTCTCCCCTTCCACTTTCCTGTGACCTATCCGTTAGCACTGCAGCAACTACTTGCACGAAACGAAATGTATGTACCTCGTCTCACCCCATGAGAAGTCATCAAAATGCCAGAATGCATACACGGGAAGAACAAAATTCCACACCGGAAGTGCCACAAGGTATATAATCATCCAGAACACATATACGACCTTCCTCGTTGTTATCAATATCAGCACAGCTGGAAGACCCAGTACAGATACAAGCAGCATGAGTGGGATCGCTTCCTCGAAAGTCGTTGGGGGTTGCATGATCATGCCCACAAATGAGGGCATACGTGAGCACGATGGCAATAGGCAGTACGACCGTCCCGAGCAAATCCATGAAGACTACGAATTGCATGCTAAAACAGAATGTTCCGCATAGATTGCGCACAAGAACAAGTTCCATCAGATTGTGGATCGTGCTGTTGATCCATCGACGACGTTGGGAGAGGAGGACCTTGAAAGTATCGGGTACAACAGTCCGGCATTTGGCTTGGGTAAAAACA